ATCTCACACCTGAAATCCCATATCTCTCCTGGTATCTCCCCAGTAAACCCTCCAGTTTCTTTCTTTCTCTTTTATTCTCCTTTCAGAAATTCACAATATATTTTTGACCATTATAATCAAAAGACCATATAATACAGGGTTCCTCAACCCCTGGGCCATAGACCAGTGCCAGTCAGTGGCCTGTTAAGAACTTGTCTGTGTGACAGGAGGTGAGCAGCAGGTCAGCAAGGGAAACTTCAACTGCATGCATTACCATCTGGGCTCTGCCTCCTGACAGAACAGTTCTCATAGGAAGACCCAGATGGGATTGTCATTGCAGGAAAACAGGCTTAGGATTCCCACTGCTTCTGCATTATGGTGAGTTGTATAATTATTTCATTATATATTATAATGTAATAATAATAGAAATAAAGTGCATAATAAATGTAATTCACTTGAATTATCCAGAAACTATTCTCCTCCATCCCTGTCACTGGGTCTATGGAGAATTTGTTCTCCATGAAACTGGTCCCTGGTCCCAAAAATGTTGGGGACCACTGATATAATATCTCATACAAAGGTATTAAATGTAATATCTTTGTATACTATACAGTATCAGTTATCATGACTAAAGTGCCAGAGATTTAAATGCATTTTGTATTTTTATTAAAATTCTTCTTCTCTTGTATATTGATTTTTTTCTTGTCATTTACCTACTATATGTAACAGTATTAACCTACATTTATTACAGTGCGGTAAATATTGTTTTATGAAAATTCTTTTGGCCAAGTAGGTGAAAACAACTCTTTTTCACTATGATGAAAGTATAAATTATTCTTGTTTATCAATAACTTAATAGTACAAACTATATAAATCAACAGTGCTTCTATGTTCTTCTTATAAATGTCCCAGTTTTCATTCATATTTATTATAAGGTTATATGATTATATGACAAAATCACTTGTTATATTTACGCCAAGTATTTGTCAAACAGGAAAACAGTATAGAACAGAGTTTGATCCACTTTTAACACCCTGGGAATTTAGTTGTGCATAAAACACAGCATTATCATTTAAACAAATATACAGATGCTCATGAATCATTAATCACAGCGTAGGATATTAATAAATTAGCCTCACTTCACCTTTGAGTCAGATGAGTTTTCTCTGATCAGGGGCACAGACTGCAAATCAAGAGCATCAAGTAGTTGGCGGAACCTTGGACACTGTGGAATTGTACCAAAAGTGGTGAATAAATTGGTGCAAATTCATTATCACTACTGGAAAACATCTAGGAAAGTAGACGGTGGGGACATCGGCCTCATAAAAATGGATGGACACTGCACAAGTACCTGCAAGAAATAAGTGCCTCCATTGTTCTATTAGTGCAATCGCTTTAGGCAAATGCAGATTTTTTAATCCACACATCTGGCTGCTAGTGGTATCCACCAGATGCAAGTAGTTAATGACATAATGATAGACATACTTTGTAGTAGTTCCTTATAAAAAGTCGAAATTTGGGGACCAGCAGTTAGCGTAATGGCTATGTCGCTGGACTCCCACGTAGACGACTGCAGTTCAAGTCCCCACCGGCGGCTTAAACTCATGCCAGGCGCGTGTGCATGCGTGTCCAAGATCCCGAGAGGAGAATGGAGGAGAAGGGATTGGCATGGCCATCCCCACCCCCGGGGGGTGATTTCTCCCTTTCTGTTTCTCTCTTTCTGTCAAGCACATGCATCCTATAGCAAAAACCTCTCTTAAAAAAAAAAGTCCAAATTTGTTAGAAAGTAAATTTTACAAGTCAAAGCTAAACATTGGACATCTGTTAGTCGTGTTATTAGAGTTATACACAAATCACTAAAAAGGATAGCTACATTTACAAAAAAGGTTTTATGGTGATGAGCTAATTACGGCAATTATGCTATATATTTATAATAAAACTGTATCACAATATGTAAGACTAAGTTTTCCATCAACTCACATAACATACTCTCCCGGTTTGTAACTTTCTCTGGCCATATTTAACTGTAATTTTTTCCAAAGTTAGTTATAACAGATTTTATTTTCAAAGACTTTTCTCTCAGCGTAACTCTCCATAAGTTACTGTGAGGCCCTTATAGCAAAGGTGTTTATATGTGTTAACATAAACATTACATTTTCATACGCGGACCTAAGGCGAGAGTATCCCCAAGCAGGCACAGTTTGCAATAAGAAGCCCTGTGGAGTCCTGACTACACTTTTGGATGAGGGGGCGACAGCATTTCTGTCAGAGCTGAGCTACTGGAAGAGTCTCCCACTGAGAGCAAAACGAAGTCACACGGAAATGAACCTTCTTCGAGTACAACAGCCACCAAGCAAAACGGCCTCCCCAACGCTGCAGGCCTTGAGGCAGCCCCCTTGCTTTGCAGGCTAGGAACACACAAGGCCGGGAACTCGAGAGCGGCCGGCCCGGGCACCGCGGCGACTTTTCCTGGGGCACCCGGCATCGCCACCCGCTCCCCGCCTCCTCGGCGCCCGCGCTCCGCCGGCTCAGGCATTCCGCCGGAAGCGTGGGATTTTGAGGAGAAAGGCAACACTTCAGTTGGGAAACCTGTCTGGGAAAGTTTTCGGGGAAGCGACTTGCGGGCGGGGCGGGACGGTCTTACCCGCGGAACCACCGGCCACGATCTGCCGAGAAGCCTCACGCGCTAAGCCGACTCCTGGCTTGGCTGACA